GGCGCAGGGTGGGGGGGCGGGGGGGCTCTGCCAGCCGCGGGGGGGCTAGCGTGGCGGGAAGAAAGCGTTTGGGGCTGCACATGACACCCCTGTCCTCATCCACATCCTCTGCAGTTTCTGAAAGTGCCACGGGCCACAGGGGATCCAGGCGAGCCAGGGAGGAGGGGGACGGTCCCTCGCTCCCGAAGTTTAACAGTAACGGATGGAGGAGGAGTCGACGGAGTGAGGGAAGAACTGAGCAAAGCCCCGAAAGGAAATACGGACGCCGACCCGGGGAGAAGTGAGAGACCAGCACTGTTTCCCCTGAAACGCGGAGGGAGCGCGAGCCACTGGCAGGGAGGGGCTCCCGAACGTGACGCGGCATCTCGGAGAGGACTTTAAAAGGCCTCGATGAAAAGCTACGTAAGAGTGTTCAACCGGACGCTGTTTCTGATAAGCAGCTGACGGTGCCGGTGGACGGGAAAGGTCCAGGCAGCACCGACTCCTTACAAATGGTTTCCGGGCACCAGAAACGCTGAGGAGACAGGAGTGGGGGTGAGGGTGGAGGTGGGGGCGCGGACGAAGCAAGAACGGGCTGAACGGACTGACGTCCGCTTTCGCTGGGCGACCGGGGTCCCCGCTAGTCTCCGTACTTCGGTTATGTTTGAAATTGCCCGACTCAAAACTTCTTTAGAACGTAAGGAACGCACTCAATTCTGCATTATCATTTCTAAGAACAAAGACGCCGAGGTAACTCAGCCTGCAGCAGGCTCGGCGGCGGAGCGTTTCCACCTTCGCTTCGTGGGACAGAAGACTCCACGGGAAACGGTGGGACACACGACGGGCGGGGGGGTCTCTGTCTCCTAAGTAGTTCATCTTGCAGAACAGCACAGGAGGTCGGCCCCCCGGGGACAGGGCCACCAACGGCCAACACAGTTATTAAGGTGAAACGCACCCCCAGCAGAACCCGAGTCTCTCCCTAATTAAAAAGAAAACGAAAAATCTCCTTTACTTACGTCAGAAAAACAATCCCAGAACTTCGGAAGAAACTGAGGGAATTTATGAAGAATCAGTATAATAATCCATTCTATGTAATATTTTACGGATGCTTGATTATTGATGAAACCAGCCTGGAAAATCTTGTCGATAATTCTATTCAAGAAATTCTGAGAAAAAAAGAAGTTCACAAGTTAAACTGTTTGTTGCTATGGTTATTAATTTTTTAACTCATGTTTCGTCACATATAATGCACACATGACACCGAGTGTAAGGGACACGAGGCGTTGATCCAATGCGTTTACGTGTCATGATTTCCTAAGTGCCACTGTGGCGGTCACTTACTATCACGTCACGTTAATTAGCGTTTCTTTTGTGATGGGAACGATTAAGATCTAGTCTCTTAACAGCTTTGAAAATGGCTACTAGATTTAATTTTAAAAATAGTCGCCACTTTTGTAACTTTTATTGTAAGTAATGACTGAATCTACAATTCTCTAAACAAAACCTTAAAAACTGCTGACTGAAGTATAATGAGGTACTTCACATTGTACCTGGACATCAATTCTGTGAGAAATGTTATTACTGTATTTTTACAGGGAAAGGAAAAGGTTCAGAAAAGTTAAATAACCACCTCGAAGCCACACACCTAGGAAGTGGGAGGATTCAGATCAAGACGCGCCAAGAAGCCCAGGGCTCAAACCTTGGACCGAGGATGCCGAGTCAGCAGGAGGCGGAGGGGAGGGGAGGGGGTCACCCCTCCACCCTGGATGCTCACCCCTCTGCCCACCCAGCACTTCTGCGGACGCCCCGAACTCAAAACCGCCCTCCCTCGCCCCACCCTTCTCTTCAAACTGCATTTGAGTAACTGAGCGTATCTAAGTAGCATATAAAAAACAAAAACAATATTTTTATGTGCTTTCCAAGCACATAAAGACTTACTACGTATACTTCTTTATTTTAAAGAAGAATTTGCCTCGACAGAATTTCTAATTGGCAGAGGAGGAGCAGAAAAGCTCGTTTTAAGCCCGAGACAGTGCTGAGTGGGGCGTGAATTTAGGCTCAACTTCATCTCCGACTCCGCCTGCCCAAGCTGTGAAGTGCGGCGCCCCACATGTAAAACGGGGTACCGTGGCCACGGAAGACGGTCACAAAGGTCAACGCAACCCTGACAGGCAGCAGCTCAGACTCCCTAGCGATGTGCTGTCCCCACGTCGGACGCCGTGGCTCCTTCTCCCTTCCAGGACCCCGCCTGCTGGGACACCCCGCTGTCACCCCCTCTCTGCAGCCTCCTCGTGCCAAAGAAAAAATGCTCTCGGCAACCTAGCGAAACAGCTGTACAGTGTGTCTTTTAAAATACATTTTTATGTTCAAAGAAGTAGAACACACAGTATTTTAAAGATCAAATATCCTTAAAAGGCGCCTGATGAAAACCAGTGCCCACCACACTGCTCCCCAGAAGGGACCCCCACATTCATCCAAACGATTCATTCGGATATGCTCAGACTCTCACGGGTACAGAAACGTTTCTCTCACAGATACAAGGCTTCATTAAATTGTATTTAAAAAAAAAAAAGAGGTCGCGTTTTAAAAACCCTCTCAAACATTTAAAAGAGGGTGGGGAGGCGATGCCTCCGAAACCGCTTCTACGAACAGCGAGACATACACCACCTTCTCACGATGACGACCTGTTTCCGAACAGGAACGTTAAGCAAAGAAAATCAGAGAAATCCGAGTCCGCGCGCCGTCCCCGCCTCCTCGGGGAAGGGAAAAAGCAGCTGCGCACGAGACTCTGGCGAGAGACCGCGGCCCCTGCTTAGCCGGGTCACGTGGCCACACTATGCGTGCGACGAAGGGCCAGGAAACCCGCCGTGGGAACGACAATGCCGCCCTAAACGATGCCGTCAAGTCAGGGTGTGAGTACAGACGGTTCAGACCGGTAACACTCCCAAGTAGCTTCGTTGTGGAAAATTAGGCATTAACACATTTACATTTTTCTAATCAAAATTAGGCATTAACATATTTATATTTACATTTTTCTAATCAAATGACTTTAAACAGTTAAAATATGACATTGAAATATTGAAAGAAAAAAATATTCAATGGGGCCATGTAAACCAGTTTCTAGTTTATTTCTACAATCCCAAATTGCCTTAGCATTCTTTCCGTTTTAAAAATAGTTCTGAATAACTTCAGTATTAAGAACTGAAGTATAAACTTTAAGCAGATTACTTCTCTCGATTTTAAAATAGCGCATGACAGTTTCTACTGAGCAGTTGATTCATCTGAAAGCGTGATGCTTAAAGGTACAAATATAATAAACATTACCTGATCAAATCTGGGGAAAAGTACAAGCAGAACCTGCCATATCCGGTTTTTCACTCTGTGTTGTTGAGAATTCACGTAGTATCGAGTTCTAGACTTGGCCACTGATTCGTCCTGGAGGGTGGATCAACATTCATTACCCACTGAATTTGTAATTAATGAAAACAAAACCAATGATAACTTCAAACTGAGAAGGTTTGAACGGGGCACAGGAGCCTCTTTTCCTCCAAAAGGCAGAAAGGAGGATAAGACATTTTACTTTCCTTTCAAAATAATGTGCAGTTGCTTTTGTTTATCTGCTTTTAAAATCAGAAAAAGGACCATAAAACCATATTCGGTACAAAAAGTCTTTGCAGGGTACTTCCATTCCTTGGGGGCCAGTTAAGGGGGAGACACGGAGTCACAGGGTGGAGGAGATGGAGGCATCTGACGTGTATTTCAAGGTGTCCAACACGGGCACTCATTTCATGCCATGTTGTCTAAGTCTGGAATAACGGCATCTGCGGTCTGAGAAGCACCACAGGAGACGGACGGGGCAGCGCCAGCGCCGCACGGGACCAGACGGCAGCAGAGAGGCTCCTACGTGAGCAGGCAGCGCACGTGCTCACATTCTAGCCAAGGGAGCACCCCGCCCCTTTAAACCCTACTCCTCCTTCAGGAAACCAGTAAGGCACTGCTTCCTCTGAGACGTCGCCCCTGCCGCCAGCACTGCGGAGGAGATTTTTGTATATAAAAAAAAAAATATCTCCTAGTTTTATATAATAAAGCCGACGGACGTGTGATGAACGCTGAGTTCCAATACGCGGGTTCTATGGCCATCGGCTCCATCCCAGCGTCCGAACCAGAGGGCAGGAAGCAGACCACGCCGTCCAGCGCGGCCTCAGATGCAGAAGTGAGCGTGATATTTGATTTTACCCCTTTTTCTCTTCTCGGAGAACAAGCCCATTGTTCAGACAGTGTAATGTTCATTTAGAAATGATTTTGTAGACTCAAAAAAATCAATTCTTTGCATTACACCACTTTACAAATTTTTACCCTTTTATATATTTCTTACACAAAACAACGTATGGATCTGTCACCCACTCTAAACATAATTGGTCTTGACTGACACTCAGAAATATGAAGTGAAGTTTAGAAAGCTCGGGGAAAACATTATTATTCTCTAAAACCAACCCTGAGTTAGACGATTACGAACCAAGATGTAGCTAAAAATACAGAACATAAGCCTCATGTTTTTCTTGATAAAAAATATTTAGGAATGCATATTCTGTCAACATAGAGTAAATGTTGGATTTTGACTTGTTAACGATACAAAAACGGAGACACTTAAGTAAAATAGAGCATATTTACTTTATCTAATAGCTTGACTGCAAGATCTTCCATAAACGACTTGTGGGACATATCTGAGTCATCTAATAAACACAGGAATTTGACAGCACAAATTCTGACGTAGTGGTCCTCTCTTTTAGTACTAAAAAATGTAAAATGATGGAGTATGTTAATACATTGTCAAAACAGAAAAATACCTCAAATATTAGTTTCAAAACACCTTAACAAACATCACAACTTCCTGGCCTTCTACAGTTAAGTGGGGCCACCCTTAATGACGCACTTTTTAATTCAGGACAGACCCGGTGAGCACGAATTCACCCAGACTCCTGGAAAACTAGGCACGCACGGCTGATCCTGGGGCAGTAATGTCTCAGCTGTGGACGAAACGGACCACATGTGGCTCAGGCAGCCATTCCCCAGGGCAGGCCCCGGACAGCTCCGTCTGCTCAGGGGCCAGGACTGGCACCCAGGCCTCGGCGGCTCTTCCTGCTTTGAGCACCTGTCCCCTCCGTGGGGGGCCGACTCAGGAAGCGCCATGCGCATTATCAGTGCCCAGAGGTGAAAGGGTAAATTAAGTGACTTTTTTTTAAATTATTATTATTTATGCCTACAGCACCTGGTCTTCCTAGGTGGTCTCCCATCCCAAGTACTAGCCAGGCCTGACCCTGCTTAGCTTCCAAGATCAGACATCAGGCTCGTTCAGGGTGGCACAGCCATAGACCATGGACCGTGGCTCCACTGGGCGCGAACCCAGGACCTTCTGCGTGTGAAGCAGACATGCTCACCGCTACACTATGGAACCATGTCCAAGTGACGCTGTTAATGAATGTTTCCAGAGTTCGTTATAACTGTGACAACATAAATAACTGTCACTTTAACAACAAAACATCTGTCTAGTAGAAATCAAAGTCATTTTGGAACCATCAACTGAAGAAGTTTACTTTTGTTGCTACACTAAACCAGCCAAGAAAAAGATTAAAACACGTATATATGTAATGAACAGTGGCAGATAAAACACAGCCATGATACTTAGTGAATATATCATTCATCTTCTTTATAAATACTTACACAGATTTTTTAAAACAATGTTTATAAAGCAGAACTATTAAAAAGCTATTTCATAAGCTCTAAAAAGCCTTAATTCAAAGATAAAAATAGTCTTATACCCTGGAAGTCAAAATTTTAGGGCCTGTTCAAAGAGTGATTTTTTTTTTTGTGAGCACACTGACTTGGTAAATGATGAATTTTAGCTAAAAATGAACAAAATGTGTGTGCTCATGATCACCCCTCCACTCCCCCTGCCAAAGAAAAGAGGGACAGGAGTTTTATGTTCTCCCTAGTCATTTGCTTATGTTGGACTTTGCACTACAAAATTTTTAAAGTTCATCAAATTTTAGGAAATAGTGACAATCTGAAAAAAATTAGCAAGGGAATATAATTTCTAACCCACTTTTGAAGGCTCATTATCTTATAACATATCAGTAGTAAACATCCATTAAACAGACAGAATGTCTCTCATATAACGTTAAATCTTGAATATTCCACTAATGCCAAGTTGTAAAAAAGCCCCTCTACTTACTTTTCAATAACAACATTTGCTGCACAATCATGTCCAAGATTTTCTACGAAGGTCTGTACGTCCTGAATGAGTCTTTCCATAAAAAACATTTGACAAAGAACAACAGGTTTTAGACAGAAAAAAAAGAACTAAAGCCCCAAATTTAAAGTTAATACTTTTATCTTCTTCTAACTGAAAGCTTCAAAATAAAAGACAGTTCTACACACACAGGTACGTAGAGATGTCACCAGAGTCTGAAATGACGGCATCTTTACCTTTGATCACGCCTAAACACAGTTCCGAAGATGCAAGCCTCAAGGACAAGTTCGCTGTAATTTTTAGCGTTTGCCAAAGATCCTCGGGACACACTTGAAGCAGGAACAATCCAAGACTGGCAGCAATAACTTATCAGTGTATTGAAGACACCAGTTTTTATAGCAGACATTTCAATCATCTGGTACATAATCTGGAATGAAATGGTTGTCACAACCTTTGACCAATTTAAAAAAAAAAAAAAACAAGTTGGTGTTGCTAAAACTGTTCCGTAAACAGCTTCAGATGATAATTTCAACATAACCATGAAGTCTAAAAAGTTAAAAAATGCTTCATCGTTAGGATTCTGCAAAGTGATCAATAATCACAAAATGCAAAGTTTTCATTACTCAGCAACAGGAAAATCTTCCTGATGGTGACACGCGCGCCCAGAACTCTCCAAGAGAAACCGCTGCCCGAGAGGAATGAAGGGAAGACGGCGCCTCACCCTGGCCGCTGTTTCCTTTGCCCTGTCCCCGCCTCCTTCCCCAGTGGCCTCCCCTTCCCTGGGCGGCAGAGACCCCGGCCTCTGAGTGTGTGCGGGCGGCAGGACGGAGGGGCGCCCCCTCCAGACGAGGGCTCACGGGGACTCCTCGGCCTGCTCCGTCCCCGCGCGCTGTGCTCCCCACTGTGGACCCCACTGTGGACCAGTGGTTATAGACGGAAGCGCCTCCAGAAGCCAGGACCCGTGCTCGGCTGACACGCAGAGTGCTTCTCACACAGGAACATCAACAGCACGAACGCAACGGCGCATCCCCGACGTCACGCAGAAGGCGCAGGAACGGAACGGCCGTGGACCGCAGCAGAGGAGCGGCAGGCCCCCCGCCGGCCAGCTCCTACTCAGTGCCCGGTGACCGCTGCCCCTCAGGGTGACGGTGCTGCCCGGTGACCGCCATCAGGCAGGGGTGACAGGTGACCGCCGCCAGGCAGGGGTGACAGGTGACTGCCGTCAGGTAGCGATTACCATTGTTGCCAGATCATCCAATTTTCCAAGATTTTCATGCAAATTTTCCAATTCTTAAAAGCTGGCAACTAATTAAAACTTTGATATTACACGAACCAAGTACGACATGCTCGTCGTTCGCGGGCCACCTCCACTCCGACAGCTGAGATTTTCTCGTTCTTACCCGTGACACTGAAGGACGTTCAAAATATTTACTGACTGGATGAACAACAGCAGGTCTGATAAGTAGTTACGAACGTAACCCTCTTCTCCATGTGTCACAGGTCACGAGTTAAAAAGAAAACCTCTTTTCATCTGAGTAGTCAAACTCACAGAGACGAAGTGGAACGGGGGGCTAAGGGGGCACGTTAAGGGGTACAGCGTTTCAGTCCCCAAGATGACAGAGCTCTGGAGACGGGTCACGACAGCGACACACTCAGCGCCACTGAAGCGCACACCTGGAACTGGTTACGATGGTAAGCTCTACGTTATGTGCTTTTTTACCCCGATTAAAAAAAAAAGTTACCTCTTTTATTTTGAGATATGCTCGGCCTTGGATTTTTGCAGCAATGGTAAGAACTTTGGCATCAAAAACAAACTGAACGAAAGCTTTTAAATTAGACCAGAATATCAGCTGAGTGTTGCTTAGAGAAGTGTTGCTTATGATTTTCCACGCTGTGTCGAAAGCCTCTATGCAGAGCGACTCGGAGGAGGCCAGGAGCTGGCAGGAGAGAGGGACAGAAATCGTCAGTCAAGTTCAGGCACTGACTTCCACCCCTGCCCGCTCCCTCCTTTTCCCGAAAGGCCCACACACTGGTTGCTTTTGTCCCCTCGGACGTGGCTTTAGCTCAACGGCCAGCAGAGCCTGACGTCTGCGAACGCCCCTTCCGGTCACCGACATCCACGGCTCCTGGGGCCTCACCTTGGGAACCAGGGTTTTCATGCAGCGGAGCACAGGCAACACATGCGGGGCGGGCAGCACGCTGAGGGCGTCCAGCGCGCACTGCAGGGTCCTCCCCGGCCTCTGAACGGCCGGCAGCTCAGGGTCCAGCAGCGCGCCCTCCGAGGCCGGAATGAGGGCGTGGTATTTCTTCAGCCGGAAAGAGAGGCAGACCCACTGGTCGTGAATATACTGTGCGACGACCTTGCCCCATCCTTGGGAAGAGGAGGACTCTTCAGAAACACTGGAACGAGAACCAGAGTCACTGCCCCGCCGTCCCTGAGTCTGTCACCTGCTCTGCACGCTGCCCGCCCCCTCACCCAGGAGGTGCTGCGGCCACTGTGAGTGTCCTGTGTACCGGACGCACGGAAATCACGGGGCCTCCACGTGCTGGCCGCCCGAGGACAGGCCCTCTCTCTCTCGCTTTGAACGATTCGCTCAAAACTAAGCAGCAGGTGCCCGGCTGCCCAGCTGAGACGCACGACACAGTGACCACGACGCCCGACGGGCGCCCCTTCTGCACCGGCAGGCGGCCCCTGGCTGCCTCTAGGAAGGGCGAGCACGGACCCCGGCGAGGACGCACCTGCTCCGGGGCTTCTGCAGCGTCCGGCTGAGCGGGAGGGAGGCGAGGAAGCTCTCGGCGGGGCCGGCGTCCAGGGCGTCCTGCGCGCGCTCCGGCTGCCGGGCAGTGGCCTCGCATACCGTGGCCAGGGCGGCCATACTGACCACCATCTGAATCTGCCTCCCGAGGGTCGGCTCCTGCGGAGGGGACGGGCGGCGTCACCCCCACGGTCTAGCCCCGGCCTGATCGCCCGTCCGGGTTGGGGTTCTGTGCCTCCCCCCGCCCCCGCCTGGTCCCATGCAGCAGGGTGTCCCAGGCAGCGGACGTAGGGTGGCGATAACAACCCAGCGACACAGACCGAGGCGGCGGTGCGCTCCCCGCGTCCGGCAGGCGGGCCCGCACCCCTGTGGCCCAGGAGCCTCGGCCTTCGCCTCAGACGCACGTCCACCTCCTGCCCCCTCCTCCGGGGTCTCGCTGTAACTGCGGGGCCGAAGGTGCTTCTAATAAAGGCTCCGGGGACAGATAGAAGTAACTCCTCAATCAGCTGCACGTTGCTTTTGGAGGTGACACGGCACAGCCGTCAAGAGCGGCACCCAGGAGCCACACGGCCGAGGTCTGACTCCCACTCTGCACGCAGGGCCAGCGTGCTGTGGACACACTGCGCCTGGACATTGTCCCCTGCGAGGCGGGGGCAGTCGCAGAGCCGCTGGACTCTTCCACAGGGTCACTGCGAAGATGAGACAAACGGGGCAAACACGCGCAGTGCCTGGGACGCCTGTGGGCAGGACTCTCACGAGGTGGTGGCACTAGAGAGGCCAGCGCCATGTCCCCAGGCTGCCAGCCAGCAACACCTCCACCGGAGGGAGCTCTCTGCTGCCCGTGCCACACCTTCCCTCACGCCTCTCAGTAAATCGAGTGTCTCTGCAAGTAAATGTCACGCGGCCACACCGCCAACACACAGAACAGAATTCAGTGCTGCTTCTGGGCCGGTGTGTCCTGTCGACCGTCATGGAACTCAGTGACCAGCCAGCCTCAAAGGACTACGGCACGGTTCATGGTTCCGGCCCACGTCCAAAACTCACAGTGTCCTGTCCCGCCGCTGATGTGCTGATTTGTACGAGACAGGACGCCGAAATATTAATCGGTCCTCTATCTTTTTTTAGGACAGTTCTTGAAAACTACTTTAAAAATTAGGTTATTGAAGCAATCGAGTAGCTTCACTGTCTTAATTAGCAGCCCAGACCGCTAATTATTGCTCAGCTTAGCTTAGCCTTATTAAACACTCACCACATGTGAAGTGGAAATGGCTCGCACTTACGGAGGACTTTCTACGTGCCAGCCGCTGCTGAGCTGCCTTTGGTTCTCACGTACGCCCTTAACGCTCATTCTGTAGGTGCAGTACATGAGGCGCAGAGCGGGCAAGTACTTTCCCCAAGGTCGCACAGCTAGCGAAGATAAAGCCGGGGTTCACACCCAGGAAGCCCCCACTCGAAAGCCCGTGCTCGCAACCAGGCTCTGGGATCCAGCGGGGAAGACACGGAAATCACTCGAAAATCCAGCAGATGCGGGAACAGCGTAACGAAGCCATAAGGAGCGGCAGGAAAACGGGGTGGGGGGGCAGATCCAGGAAGGCCTCCAGGGAGATGCGTTTGAGCTGGGCCACGACACAGGTGTGCACGGGAGGCGGACATTCTCAGGGAAGGACGAGACAGGACGAAAGCCTGCGGGGGAGGCTGTGACATGTGACACGGCCTGTGAAACTGTACACGGTGGCCCAGAGCGACTGGAGCCCGTGGGCACGGCGGTGGACGACTCCGGAGGGCTCCGGACACCAGGTGGACAAACGTAGCGCGGTGACACGCCCCCCTACGGTGTGAGCAGACCCGTGCGGATCCGCGGCGGGCGCCCACGTCCCCTCCTGTCACATACCAAACCAGCTGTGACAGGAGTCCCGTCCTCATCAAACGCTGTGCACAGAAGGCTATTTTAGACACTGGCTTTCAGCAGACGCTTTTTATATCAAAACGCCGCATGATGAGGAAACGTGTTTGCCACGTGGGCCTCGTCTAGCGTGACCACGAGCCTGGACCACAGGGTTACCTGTCCCCCGTCCGTGTCCTGAAGGTGCCGAATGGATGCGTTCCTCAGGGGACGGAGAATTCTCCAGAGGCCGGTGACGCCCTCCCAGGCCCCCTCCCCGTGCAGACGCGTCAGCTCGGTGAAGACCGTCAGGTACAGGCGGCAGCGGTCCAAGTCCGAGACCTAAGGCAGACGACAGAACACTCAGCAGCAGAGTCCGCGGTTTCACAAAACTCTGGGAGTTGGGACAGGAAACAGATGCGTTTACTTAAGTGTATTAAACAAGACAATGGTGAGAGAGGCCGTTGTGCCAGTGCGGCCGGGACTTCCGTCTGTCCACGGCGAGTCTGTCCTCTGCCCACCTGCAGCACCGACCGGCCGAGCCCCCGGAGGCCGAAACTACGTCCTCCCCTCCAAGGACCACGGCGAACACGCCGCACACAGTGCCCGTCGTCCCCTCCGCCTGTGCCAGGCCGGCTATGACGCTCCATTCTCACAAGGACGGGGACTGTCCCGTCTCCTGACACCACACTAAGTTTCAGAGAGGTGACCCAGCATGTCGCGGCCGGTGAGGAGAGCTGAGAGCACGTGCGCTGAATGCACGGGCGCCGAGCGGCAGTGTGCAGTGTCCGGCCGTGACCGTCACTGCCGTGCCGGTCACAGCGCCCTCGGAAGCCCATGGCCACAGGGAGCAAGCTTCACTAGCTCCGCCCCGTCTGACTGAGCAGCCACGACGTGCCAGGCACTAGGGCAGTGCAGACAGAGGTGACAACTGCAGACCTGGTGATCGATTGGGAGTGAGGGACAAAGGTGCCAGCTATCTAAGCTTTGGGCTTGAGACCCGGGCTGGGTGGCGGGGCCGTCACAGAGGGGGAGCCCCGAGGAGCCCCTGTGGGGTGACAAGGGGTCAACCCCGAGCATCAACGGCAACTGGCTGAACGGACGAGGAGCGCGGTGCAGCCTGCGGAGGGGACAGACGGGACGGCCGCTGCAGCTGGGGACGCGCGTGAGGTCACCAAGACGGGAGAGGAGGAGCCGGCCAAGCCTGAGCCCTACTCACGGCTACAGGCGAGGACGGACATTCAGAGGACAGTGAGAGCGATGGCCAGAGAGACGGGAGGACCAGGAGAGGTCGGCGTCACCGAAGCTAAAGCGGGCGGTGCTTAAGGGGGAGCAGTGTCCAGTGGGAACGAGGAGTCAAGAAAAACACGGTGTGTGCCACTGCACTGTGACAAAGAAGTCACTGACGGCTTCAGAGAGCCACCTGACGCGGGAGGACACCGGGCGGGGACCGGAGGGGTCTGCGCACAGGTCAGCTCACAGCAGGGGTGCGGTGCCGGGGGGGGGGGACATGGAACCGAGAGCTTGTCTACGGTGAGGGACGCCGCAAGCCGTCTCCACACCCGGAAAGAACCCAGGAGAAAGGAGAGGCTGACAGCATGAGGGGGCCCGACAGCGTGGAGCCCCGAGAAGATGTTAGAGGCCAAGCCGCCTCGACTCCACCGTGACAGGACAGGGCGCTGACCGGTGCGCGGACGCCCCACAGTCCCAGGCGGGTCCAGTCTGGTGGCCAGTGCCTCCTCTGAGGAGAAAGCGGAGACCACAGTGTCCCGAGGCCCCCTGCACAGGGGGGTGACAGTTCGCCTCTCAGACTCGGTGGCCTCGTGTGGCAGCTTGACACCGGCCTGGACACTGAGATCCACTGCAAATGGGCTTCCTTCCCAGAGAGCCACTCAGGCAAGGGGGACGGGGGGGTG